ACAAATATTTTGGTATACCGAATTTGCGAATAAAAAATACTGAATTACGGTAACATGTATACTCGTATAAAAGAAACCCGAAAAATTTCAAAATTTCGATACAATATGACTTTTTTTTGTATGATAACGATATACAATAAAATATTTTCAATATATATAGATAATTAAAAAAAATTGGTATTTTTTGTATATATTGATTATTCGATACAATCTTGATATCTTTTTTTCATAAATTTAAAAAGTTGGTACGGTATACAATATATTTCGATATTTTTAGTATACTATCTCAAACCATCTCTAACTGAATTGTATACCCGGTATTAGAATATAATATTTTACGTCAAACACCGAAATTAAAAATAAGTCCATAATTTTGTATTATAAATAAGTTATATTTTTTTTATTTTTTAACAAAGAAAAAAAAATTAATATCAAATCTCATTTTTAATTAATTTTTCAGCCATAGATTTTCAAATCAAACATCAAATTTTTATTATATATTACATAAAATTTAATTTTAAAATTAAATGAATATTTATTTATATAATATTAAATATTAATTTTATCTTTATTATTAAAATTTTTAGCCCAACTTCTAAATTTATAATTAACAAATGACAAAACTAAAGATATTAGTAAATTAATAAAATATTATTAAGTGTTTTTAATACTATAAAAGAAAAATGGAGGACAAAGGGAATATTATTTCTTAATATACTATAAAACTCCAAATTGCTCATTTGGTGTAGGATGGAGGGAATATAAATATTATCACCAACTAGCTCAATTGAGCTACCTGTTAGCCGAGCTCGAGCATGGCTCATTTATAGAAAAAATAATTTTCAAGTTCGATTCGGCTCATTTATCTCTATGCTCGAACCGACTTGTTAACAATTCAACTCGAAACAATAAGAATATACTGGGATGTCAACATAATAAGCAAATTATACAGCATAATTCAATATATAACTCATATATAATATGTTTTTATATAACACAATATATATTATTTTCCTTTTAATAAAATATTAATTATTTCAAATTAATATGCTAATTTGATCAAATTTACCCTAGCAGCATGTATAAATATTTTATATTAAAATAAAAAATAATAAATGTCATATGTACTTTTTTTTGTATATATCCTTAATTCATAGTGTTAAGCACAAAAAATAATAATAATAGTAAGTGGCAGTAGGATTCTGGGTAGGGTCTGAATGAAAGCCAAAAGGTCTGGAGGTCGGGCAGAATAAAGGTCGGGAAAAGGAAGAAAGGTAAGATCTCAAGAATTGATCCAAATCCAGACTCAGGTACTACCAAGAGATGGTTGTCCGTGATCAGCAGTTCGGGCTGTATTCAGGTCGGGCGGAGTCTAAAAAAAAGGTGTACCCAAGTCGGGTAAACCGTAGATCGGATGGAAGGCGAAGTCGGGCAGACGCGGAGGTCTGTCAAGAGGAAGGTCGGGCAAGGAAGAGGTACGGACAGACGCGGAGGTCTTCGGTCAAAGACGGAGGGCGGCTGATGCGGAGGTCGGCCCAAGTGAGGTCGGGCGAAGAAGCAGGTCGGGCGAAGGACGAAGTCGGGCAAAAGAAATTTGGCAGTGGACAGGCAGGTCGGGTAAGAGGCAGGTCTGAGTTCTGTGACTGGTGGGAACGGTTGAAGGAAGTTGTAATACGTGTCAATAGAGGAGAAATTGGTGGTCGGTTGACAGCGGTTGCTGTAACCGACCAGACGGCGGTTCAAACCGTTTTCTCTGAAAGGCTATTTAAAGGATTCAAATCCGTCAGAAAAGGCATCTTCAATCAACTTCAACAAAGCAAAGTCAGATTTGGGGATCACCACTTTAAATTTCAGTCTTTTATTTTCCAGTTTATTTTCTGTACCGTACAGTGTTTAGAGATTCCTAATCTCAGGCATTAATTAATCAAGTTTAAGGATATTTTCTATATCTTTGAATTTTACTTTATTTTTGTTGAAAAATTACATCAACAAATTGGCGACCACAGTGGGAGAAAGGCAAGATTGCTGATCCTACATCAACACAAAATGTCATACAATTGAGGTCTGGCCGAATCATCAGAAAAATCAATATGGTAGGCACACAACCTCAAATATCATCAGCACCGGTGGGAGAAAATGTTTCACCACCAGTCATGCCAAATCCAGGGGAGATTCCCCCACCACCTACCGATTGGTTGTCTTATGTTCAACAAATGAACAACCAGCAAACTTTGGTTATGCAGAACATGTTGCGTGAGCAACAAACGAACATGTTGCGTGAACAACAAAATCTAATACAGAACATGGTGGATCAGGCATTCTCCAGATTCACCCTGTATCCAAACATGCTTCCAGCCGTGTCACCTGCTCGTTTTCAGGCGATTTTTCCAGGATCAACGTTTGCAGGGCCAACGTACGTTGACAGTACGTTTCCAAGCGTCACAACTTTCAACCGAACAGATATGGGGAAGATTCCTCTAACTTTCCCAGATAATGTTCCTTTGGGACCGAGGGTTGATAATACCCAGCCGAATGAGAGATTAGGAGGACAGACTCATAATCCCATTCCAACCGAACCAGCCTTCTCTAGAGAAGAAAGGTTGGAGGGACAGACTCATAATCCCATCCCAGCCGAACCAGCCTTCTCCAGAGAAGAAAGATTGGGAGGTCAGACTCACGATCACATTCCAGTGATCGACCATATTCCACCCAGAGTAGATCCGGAGGATATTGCTCAAGTTCTGCGGGTGCATTTCGGAATGAATCCGCAAACGGTGAACAGGCCGGTTTACCAGAGGCCATTTCCAGAAAGGATCATTAACGATCATCCTCTCCCGAGAAATTATAGGCCACCAGACTTCTATTCTTTTTCGGGAGAAGACGGAGCCTCTACCATTGAGCATGTGGGTCGCTTCACGGCTCAATTGGGAGAAGTAGGCAACAATCCGTTTCACAAGTTACAATTGTTTGGGTTGTCGCTCACAAGAACAGCTTTTTCTTGGTATGCCAGTCTGCCGCCTGGACAGTTGCAAACTTGGGAAGATTTAGAGGCAGATTTTCATGCAAGGTTCTTTAATCCTCTGCCGACAGTCTCACTGATAGACCTTCTGGAGATCACGCAGATGCCGGAAGAGACCGGCTACCAATTCATAGAGAGGATGCGATTGATGAAGGGACGATGTCCTACGATGATCAATGAAAGCGAAATGACCAATTTGGTGGTCAGGAACATGCATACCAGACTTCGCGAGGCCCTGACAGCCCACGACTTTCAAGATCTGGCCAGTTTAGCATCCACGGCAAGAAGGTTAGAATCCTTTTTTACAGAAAATAATCATGACTTCCGTCAGGGGGGAGATGCTGAAGAGATGGTAGTGCAAAATCAATCAATGTGCAGACCACCACCAGTCCGCGATAAATGGAGGTCGGGTCCAACGTAGCCTCAGAAGATGGAGGTCGGATCTGAGGCTGACGTAGCCTCGGATGCTGACCTGCAAACTCCTAAAACATCACTGAAAGTGATGTTTAGGAGTCTTGAGGAGGAGACTTATTGTTAAGCACAAAAAATAATAATAATAGTAAGTGGCAGTAGGATTCTGGGTAGGGTCTGAATGAAAGCCAAAAGGTCTGGAGGTCGGGCAGAATAAAGGTCGGGAAAAGGAAGAAAGGTAAGATCTCAAGAATTGATCCAAATCCAGACTCAGGTACTACCAAGAGATGGTTGTCCGTGATCAGCAATTCGGGCTGTATTCAGGTCGGGCGGAGTCTAAAAAAAAGGTGTACCCAAGTCGGGTAAACCGTAGATCGGATGGAAGGCGAAGTCGGGCAGACGCGGAGGTCTGTCAAGAGGAAGGTCGGGCAAGGAAGAGGTACGGACAGACGCGGAGGTCTTCGGTCAAAGACGGAGGGCGGCTGATGCGGAGGTCGGCCCAAGTGAGGTCGGGCGAAGAAGCAGGTCGGGCGAAGGACGAAGTCGGGCAAAAGAAATTTGGCAGTGGACAGGCAGGTCGGGTAAGAGGCAGGTCTGAGTTCTGTGACTGGTGGGAACGGTTGAAGGAAGTTGTAATACGTGTCAATAGAGGAGAAATTGGTGGTCGGTTGACAGCGGTTGCTGTAACCGACCAGACGACGGTTCAAACCGTTTTCTCTGAAAGGCTATTTAAAGGATTCAAATCCGTCAGAAAAGGCATCTTCAATCAACTTCAACAAAGCAAAGTCAGATTTGGGGATCACCACTTTAAATTTCAGTCTTTTATTTTCCAGTTTATTTTCTGTACCGTACGGTGTTTAGAGATTCCTAATCTCAGGCACTAATTAATTAAGTTTAAGGATATTTTCTATATCTTTGAATTTTACTTTATTTTTGTTGAAAAATTACATCAACACATAGTATATTGTATTCATACTTTTGCGGAATAACGACGGGCAGTTAGGCCACTTAATCAAGTTAACATCATATTAATTTAACCAAATTATCACACTAATTTGAGACAATTATCATTTCATCACACTGACAAATAACATATATTTTATTAAATAGAAGCATGTGTTATGTGGTTTACATATTATACTATGAGGTATAATTTGTTTATTATGCTAAAATCATACTTTTTTTCGTCTCAATTCAAAATATTTTTTTACCATTTTTGTATGTCATATTTTAAAGTATTTTTGTCCTATTTTAGAAAAAACAATCATATACTAATACCAAAATATCTGTTAACTTTTACTTAAATCAAAATCTCTGACACATTTCACTGACCAATAAAATATTATTATTTTTTAATTTATTACACGGCAACACTCCTTTAAAAATTGACGAATGGAGTATTATATTATGATAAATAGAATTATAAAAATAAAAATAAAAATAAAAAAGCCCACCCCGCATTATTACAACATAAAAGAACCCACCACTCAACCACCCACCCTGTGGGGGCCTTTGAAATAATTCAACTCCAACCACTCATCATATGGCAATATCATCAACAACCATCATCCAAGAAAAGAAAAAACAATAGTGTAGCATCAAATAAAAACTAATGTATAATAACAACACAACACTTTCCAGAAACCTCAAGAAAAATGTCTATCTACAAATTAAATGCAATTCTTCAAGTTCTCAACAATAACAATTTCCCCAAACAATTCTAAACGGACAAGAGACAGATTCATGCTGCGAATTTAGACAACAAAACAAACCAAGAATTCCAACACAAACACAATCTCCAGACAGCTAACAACATATGCAAGAATAATCGAGATTCGATTCGATATACGATCCAAAAAATAATCTAAACGCGGGTATTCCCGTTACCTAGTGTGAGCTCGAGATCATCCACCCCGACCTCGTGGATCCTCTCCCCTTCCCATGCCTTCACCGCCATTTTCTCAAAATCGATCTCCGCCCCCTTCCCCTTAACGTCGACCTTACCCGAACCCACTTGAGGGCCTGGCTTCACAAGATTGAACGTCGGGGAAGTCGGGACGGTATTAGCTCCCGCATTCCCGTACGTTTGGAAGCTAATCCACCTTCTCGAATCGACAGTGGACGCATCTGACTCGTCGCATTCGGGGATCGGGATGGGATTAAAGCGTCGCAAACGAGTCGGGCTTGCAGGGGCGGAGGAGGCAGCAAAGAAAGGGATGTTCAAGAAGGGCTGTTGGGGGAGTCTCGTCGGGGACGAGAGCGGCGGGGTGACGGGGGCGCTGTTCGATATTCGGAGAGGCGGGATTGAGTTAAGGAGGAATGCGAATGGGTTTGGCGGCAATTGATTGGGGTTATCGGGACGGGACGGGCTCGGGTGGTTCGATTGGATCGGGGTGGCGAAGTAGGATGATGGAGGGCTAGGATTTCGCGACGATCCCGGGGTAATGTTCGTCGAAATGTTTGTTGAAATGTTCGTCGAAATATTCGTCGATGTCCCGACTATCTCCATTGGCATTGGCTTGCATCCCTACAACGATTTGCAACAAGAACTCAAGCAAATGATCAAACATCAATTAGGCATTACATATGTACTTCCAGTCCCAAGACATTTTTTACCATTTTTGTTTGTTCTACTTCGAACTATCTATTTCTTATTTTAGAAAAATTAACGATACATTAATACCAAAATATCTTTAATCTTACTTGAATTACAAACGTACCATTACACATACAGATACTTTATATATAAAATCAAATGGCAAAAATGTCAAAAACTCTTACATACTTCCACTAAGCGGAAAAATATTACTACCTCCGTCGCATAGGAAGAATACAATGGGTTATTTTGCACGTAGAGAGTATGTTATATCAAAAATACTTCTATTAGTCTCTTATAATACAAATAGAATGATATTTTTGTAGTAAATTATACAAATATAAAAATATTTTATATGTTAAATACAATGACGCAAAAGGCAAATGGTACTCTTTATATGAGCGAAAGTAGTACTTCATCCGTCCGCCTCTAAGAGTCACATTTACCTTTTGCTTCATTGTATTTAACAATAAAAATTTTCTTGCATTTGTATACTTTTTTATACAAATGTTCTTTTATTATTATTATAAAACACTGATGAAATTATACGTTTTTTATATAATAATTAATATTCAAATATCAATATACAAAGAGTAAATGAGACACTTGGAGCCGGATTGGGATATATTATCAGGGTTCTTCAATCGAAATATCACATTCACAGTCTATTTTCACCTCAAAATTTTCAAAAATGGAAAGAATTAAGATACCTAGTGTGCTGTTTATCTTATGGATTTGATACTTGTCTCAGGAATTAGGGCAAATAATGGAGAAGAAATTAGGGCAGAAACTGCAGAAAGCTAAAACCCTAATTCCCAAATCAAACACGGAATCAATCGTCTCCAAACCTAAATCAGCTCATAAATAGCACATCGAGAGCTCAAATCCAGATCCACACAAACACAATTGAAGCAAACTGAGCACGAAGATCCAATCGACGGAATCAATTGAGGTCGAGAAACATAGTTCACAGAATTAAGCAAGCGCGAAAATGGACGAACCTTGCGATAAGTAGTGCCGTCGGAGTCGACGACCCAGCCGGCCTCGGCGCAGACGGCTTTGAGGACTTCGTTGTTGTCGCAATGTTTAGGCAAATTGTAATTGCCCTGAGCTCGCAGGCCGGAGTAAATCTTAGCTGCAATGGCTCGTCTCCGCCTCTCTCTCCTCCTGTTGTTCTCTCTCTCTCTCCAGGACGGCTTCCGGCGCGCCGCTCCGCCGCCGTCTCCTCCGCCGCTGCCGCCAGGTTCCCACATTGTTTACTCACCTTTGTGCAGAGAAAAAACTGTAATATATATATATATATATATATATTGGTCGGATCTGTGGAGAGGAATTAAAAATGGAGAATTGCAGTAGTAGTACTGAGTGACAGCAGCGCTTATTGCAATTTTGAATTTGTATTTGTATTGGTTACGATCCTTCTTGAGGTCCGAGGCTCCAATAGTTGTTGTTTTACTTTCACCTTCCTTTCTCTCCCATGGCCCTGCTGCTGTGTTTCAGTTTCAGGTTCAGTTTCTGCACCGGGTGCGGATCAGTCTGTTAGAGGTCCTGGACCAGTGCGCCAGCCACATCCGCGCATTCAATAAGCCGAGCTGGTTTTGTTTTTGTGAATATTATATAATAAAATGGGCCTGTAATGGTGTGTGATGTTTCCCGGGCTTTAAATTTTGTGCGTGTTCTTTTATTATATATTAAATTTTATAGGTAAAACTATATTTTGAAACTCAACCTCAATTTTTTTTATTTTTAAAATTTCATAAAATTCTTTTATACCTTAAAAACCGTTATTATATGATTTTAAAATTCAATCTAAATTTCTATTTTATTTTAAAAAAGTTGCATAACGCTCTTTATATTTTCAAAAATATTGCTTTAAGTCTTCGCCGTGCAAAAAATACGGATAGAAAATCATCATTCCATCATACAACGGCAGGGGCGGACCGGTGGGGGTAATGGTGGGCTGCAACACCCTAGTGTGTCTTGCCTGTTGGGCCTAATTTGCTGGGTATTAGGTTCGGCCGGGGGTTTACCCAGTGCACACTTTCGGGCAGCGGCTGCGAGTTCCCACGTCATAAAAAATTAAAAAAATAAAATAAAAACTACAAATTTGATTGTGATTCAAAATTAAATTGAAATTGAGTATTTATTTAAATTTTGTTTAAATAGTATTTTGATATAATGTTTTGTAAAAAAATAATATATTTTTATTAAAAATATTGATTTCAATTTGAATCATAAGTACAAACTCTATTTGTTATATACCCATATACTATAATATTTATCCTTTATGTAAAAAATAAATTTATTTGGTTTGGGCACAAATTTATTGTGATGTATATTTTTAATTTTTTATATTTAAAAATAATTAAAATGATAAAAAGTAATATAATTTTTTTTTCTAAAAAAAACTGTATCTATTTTTTTTTACAGACATATAAAAAAGCAAGTGTATTTTCTAATGATAGGATGAGTACGATATTTGTAATAAAAATAAATTAATATATGTGATAATAATAGATATATATATTTGGATTTTTTTAAGTTTGAATTTTGCTCTAAATAATAATTTAATACTCTCTACGTCCATTTATAATTGTACTAAAGTATATTTTTTGGTATGAATTGACAAATTTATCTGGTAAGGTAGAGCTTAAAAGTGATAAATAAATTAAAGGTGAAAAAGTAAAATTTGTGTTTTTTTTAAGAAAAAAAAAGACAATAATTATTGGACGTCCCAAATAAAAAAAATAAGATATTAGTTTGTTGACGAAGGAGAGAGTATGATATTTCTATGATAAAAAAAAAATGAAAAATAAAAAATATGAAGTTTGAATGATGATGAGATATCTAAAATTTAAAAAATAAAATAAAATAAAAAAGTAGAAATTTGTAGGGGTATAATGATACTCTTTCTGTCCCACATTGTATGTTTAAGTTACTTTAGATATAAAAATTTAGTAAAAATAATTAAAAATTGTATTAGTGAAGATAATTATTTTATAATATAAATAATTACATATTAAGATTAAAATAACTAATTAATTTAATTAAAAATAAATAAATTATAAAATAAATTTTTTTAAATAAAATTAAAGTGTGTAATAAAAGAAAGTAAGATAATATAGATAGAGTATTATTTTAGAGCATGTTTATTTGACATATTTTTATAATTTTGTAGCATTATTTATTTCTATAATATTTCATCGATCATTTTATTGTGTGCTTATAAAAAAATAATAAAAAAAGCAATTATTCACTTTTTTAATATAATGAAATTCTTCTTTATTTTAAAATAAAATAAAGAAGAATATGCTGCATATTCAATTTTATTTATAACAACCTAAAAAAATGAATAATATTGAGTAACAAGTGGAATATTGTATTAAAATTTTATTTTAATTTATAATATTTAGTATTAAAAGGTTCTTCTTCATTTTATATTTAAATATTTTTATATTAAAGTGATTATTAAATACTAGTATAATATTTTAAAATGATAAAATTAAAGGCAAGAGAATATACCTAAATAGAATAATTAACAAATCATTGATCGCTTTCGCTTAGCCCACATGGCTGTTGCTGGATCTCTGCTCCAGGGACTCCCTTCGCTTTATGCCCAATGTGTTTTGTGGTGCTCCTGAACTTTGCATCCATAAAGTGGTGTATTTTATTTTAAATACGCAGTAGTATATCAACTAATTATTATTACAGTATAATTTTAATAAAATCGATACTTTATCTGGATTTATGTAATTAATTTAATAATGAAATAATTGTGTAGGTAGTAAGGTGAGCAAGGGTTTTTTTTTTTTTTTTTAAATGCAGATGTATATTGCTTTCGTCCACTAATAAATAATTTATTTTTTTTTATTTTGATTAGTCTTATACTTTTTTCGTACCAAACTAAATGGGTCTTTTGAATTTTTATATTCCTTTCGTCCCAATACAATAGTCCTGTTTATCATTTTTGTCCGTCTCAAAACAATAGTCTAATTTCTATATATAATCATATCACTGTAAAACTATCATTACTTTTTCATTATTATTACACAATTGCCACTATTTTTTTACACTAATACACTCACAAACAAGGATAAAAAATTCTTTTATTCATACTTTTTACCTACTACCAATATAATATAAAATATTCCTTAAATCATGTGTCAAAACTATAGTTCAGGGACGGAGATAGTACTAAATTAAGAAATTATATTTTTTTTGTCCCAAACACTCACAATATTTATTTATTTGTTTGTTTCAAACATCGTGCAATATTTTGAGAAGATATAATAATTAAATATATACCATACATTTTATCTCATCAAATAAATATACAATTTTCTATCATCGCATCACTTAATTTTCAAATTATCATATTTAATACTATCCACTTAAATTTTCGTGCCAAAAACAAATATTGCACTATGTCTGAAAGAGATAGAGTAGTATTTTATTACTTATTTAAACGAATTCTTGTGGTATTATGTGGACAATGATTTATACGAGTGATGTTTTCTTCCCAAATGAGAAGTGGTTCCGAGACTCCCTATTGGTTCTCAAGAGGATGAAAAGTTATCTTAATTTATAATTATTTTTATTATATGATAATTATTTTTACTAATTATATCTCTTCTAAATTTCAGTGTTTATGATAAAATAAATATGATAGCTGAAACGGATGGAATATTATTTAAGCATATGAAGCTAACACTACAAGAAAAAATTATTTTTGTAACAAAACTTTTTTGTCTCTAAATCTACTTTTTCCATTACTAATGACATTAGAGACGGAATTAGGAAATAAAATTAAGCTAGCTACGTGAACTTTAGGGACGGAATTCCGTTACAAATATATTATTTTTTTGTAGAGTAATGTGTGGATGGATCGATGACAGTTGGCAATTTTATGAGATTCGATCCTTTAGAAATCTTTCCATTTAGGCTCTTGGCAATGACATTTAGGGTTATGATGGTGTTGCCGCAAGAAAGTAGAGCCTTGATGGGGTTCTCTAGGATCTTGCGGCAATCGTCGAACTATCGATTTATTGTTACTCATTTATTTTAAAAAGAATAAATAAATGAGATCGACTCCCTAAAGACAACTCGAACGCCCTAATTATTAAAAACAACCGTTTTGGAATAGAATCGAAACAAATATTATTGTTAGAATAAGATTTAAGGATGTCTGAATATATTATATTTTATTCGGTGTTTGAATGTAATTTTTGTAACTTTTTTGTTTAAATGATAAATTAGATGCGATATCTTGTAAGATTAAATTTTATTATAAAAAATAAAAATTAAATATTTGAATAATAAATTACATGTGAATTTTGTAAAATTAAAATAATGTAATTTTAAAAAATCATATAAATAAAATAGTAAAAAAAAAACATACTTAATTATATTCATTTATCTCATTACGAAAGAGAAATAAAAAATTTTTATTTATCAACTTTAACACACTCTAACATAACCGAGAACGAAATTTAAGGTATAATTAAATTAGGAAATAAAATAACTTTTTTTTTTGTAAGCGTTGCATCCATTTTTATTGTTAGTTGATTAGAAATATATGCCGATTCAAAAGACATTGATTATATTACTTTTTAGGCTAAATTGCACAAAATTTACATGTGATTTCATAAAATTGCGTCAAATCCTCTATACTTCTAAAACTGCGTCAAATATCCTCGTGGTTTCATAAACTTTGGCGTCTAACCCCTTCAATGGTCCTTATTTAACTGTATTTGTATTTGATCTAAATGCGCCCAAATTGCGAATAAAGTTTAGAGTCTCAATTTCTAAATCCCTAAAATTACAAATACATTCATTTTTATATACATATTTAGCCTAAAAAAATAGTATATATATAGTAAAAAATAATTATTTTTCTTAGGTTTTAAAAATGTATTTACTTATTTATTTTTGGCAAAATATAAATATATTTGTAGTTTTAGGGGTTTAGAAATTGAGAATTTATTCGCAGTTTGGGCCCATTTAGGTCAAATACCGTTAAATAAAGACCTTCGAGAGGTTGGACGCAGAGTTTATGAAAACACGAAGAAATTCGACGCAGTTTTAAAAGTATTGAGAATTTGGGCGCAATTTCGTAAAATTACGTGTAGATTTTGTATAATTTAGCCTTATTTCTATTATTGTATTTTTATTTTTCATATTTCGTTTTTTCATCTCATCTTTTTTTACTATCAAATATATGTACACTAGATTTGATAGGAATTAGTTATTAATTATTCTAAATTGTTAAAAAAATAAAATAAAATTACTCACTCCGTCCTAATACAATAGTCTTGTTTATCATTTTTGTCTGTCCAAAAACAATAGTCTTATTTTCATAAATAATCATATCACTATAAAATTATCTTTACTTTTTCATTATTATTACACAATTTTTACTACTTTTTACACTAATATACTCACAAGAACAAAAAAGTTTTTTACTCATATTTTTATCCACTATCAATATAATATTAATATTTCTTAAATCTCGTGTCAAACCCAATTCATGCTATAATTTTGAGACGGAGGGAGTACTTGATTATCGTCCTATTGCTAATTTTCAACCAATTCCAATTTTGTTGCGCGGTACAATTTTTATAGTGTATAAATAAAAAAAGTCTAGATATATTGAGACATCTAAAATTAAAATAATCACTCGGATGTAATGATTCCAAAAAATAAAAAATAATAATTAATATTATAATAATAATGTGGGATTAAAGAGAGCCAAAGACAGCGCTGTTGGCTGCGGCACAACGAGTTTCACGACAAAATTTCTTGTCTCCTTTGTGGACCACTAAATGTCTCCTCCATTATTGACAGTTCTTCAAGCGGCCAATTGCATCTCGCCACGTCACCCATGGAATCAAACGAAATTAACCAATTGGATCTCGCCACGTCAACCAAAATAATAATAACAAAAAAAAATCGCCGTTGCCGGGGATCGAACCCGGGTCACCCGCGTGACAGGCGGGAATACTCACCACTATACTACAACGACCTTGTTGTTTACTTTTTTAATAATAACAATAATAATGTTATAAAATATCTTTTTTTTGTATGTTTATTACTGTAACGGGAAGAGTTACCTGTGTTTATTTTGTGAAATTGGGTGAATGGATATTTTTTTTATTTAAATTATAAAGAATTATGTATGTAATATAAAAATAATATATATTAATTTTTTGAGAAAAATATGTGTGTTTATTTTGGCAAAAAGTACACATTTTTAGGGTTTGTTTATTTTGTGTTTTGGTTTGAAATAAAAAATAAAAAATTATGTGAAATGTATAGAAAATTGTATAAGTAATATAAAGATAATAAGTGTATGAATATTGATTTTTTTTTTGGAAAAATATATAGAATTATTTTTCAAAAAAAAAAAAAAAACACACCCTTGCTATTTTGTATGTATTTTAGTTGAAGGAGCATCCTGTAAAAAAAAACATTAAAGTTTGTTCACTTTGTGTTTTTAGATAAATATATTTATTTTATATTAAATATAAAAAATTGTATCGATAGTATCAAAAATACTACTCCATCTGTCCCATATTGGATGTGTGAGTCATTGTAAACACAAAAATTTAGGATTAATTATCTCACTGTAAACACGGAAATTTATGATAAATATAATTAGTAGATAATTAAGAATGTATTAGTGAAAATAATTATCTTATAATATAAATAATTATAAATTAAGGTTAAGAGAAGTAATTAATTTAATTAAAATTAAAAAAAAATTAAAATTTAAAATAAGATTATACAATATTTTTAAAATAAAGAAAGTGACATGGGACGTGAAACAGACAGAAACGGCAATGTGGACATTGTAAGTGAGACAAAGAGAGTAATATTTTACGAATTGTTCACTTTTGTAAGTAAATAAAGTATATTATATTTTGTTAATATATATATATATATATTTGATAATATTTATGAAGAATAATTTCAGTAAAAAAAAATATGTTAAAGTGAACAAACCCTATCATTGTTCTAAAGATGCATTACACGATTTTCTTTTTATTATTGTGAAATTTTTAATTCTTAGACATAAAATTATGTTAATAATATAAAAATATATATATATTTACAGAGAATTGTATAGATAAAAATAAAATAACGGGGTGAAGAAAGTGTTTGTGTACCTCCTCATGTTTTCCTAACAAAGTATATTGAATCTTGAAAATGTAGAGGTTCATTACCCCAGGATGTCCACCCACCCATCATCTCCCTCCCAAAAAGCTCGACGCGGCGCCCCCGCCGGAGCTCCGGCACATAGTAGTCGAGCAGCACCTCTGCCGGAATGTCAAGAAGAAACGACAAATTTATCAGATAAACGACACAAACAGCAGCATAATAGCCCGATTCGCTTGGACAAGATTACCTCCGATAGGTGGCTTTCGCGAATATGAGCCAGGGATGCTGACGACCACCTGGTTATCCGGTATCCGGTCGACTCCCATCTCAGAGTTCATTTCCTGCATCGATCGAATGATCTTGATCAAACTTGGTTTCATGCACCAAATGTAGAACTGTTAAACAAATCGAACAGCTTGCGAGCCAAGCTCAAATTTCTTTTTTATAAACGAGCTCAAGTTCAAGCTCGGCTCGCGAGTAGCTCAATTGCGTCATTATAGTTAGCATTAAAAATATCTTTATATTTATATAATTTTTTTTTTCATAAATGTAATTATAATAGTATTACAAGACACTTTTATTTATTTTTGCTCTTGGTACTATGTTTTCATATAATAATTAATATTCAAATATTAACAAGCAACAAATAAATGAGACCTTAGAGCCGGACCGAAGTAGTATTATTTATATATTACTATAATATATATAATTTTTAATATCAAATTTTATATTTATTATTAAAATTGAATATTTTATTATAAAAATTATGAATAAAATTAAGAGTGTGTTTGTTTGAGGGATTTTGCAAAAAATTCACTATTCATCAAATTTTCTCCTCCCAAAAACATCAAATCAAACATTTATTTTTCATTTTTTATATTATACTAAAATCAATTTTACATTCAAAACATCATATCAACACCTATTTATATCACATCATACAATTATTCCAATTCAAAATTTTATTATTCAAATGTCAACTCAAAATCCAAACCTCAAACAAACACACCTTAAATATATTTCATTTGTATATTAAAAAATATATAGAATACGTATAAAATTCAAACCGGGTTCGAACCACTATTTTGGTTCGAATTGTTAACGAACCGGACCTATACCGTTAACAAGTTCGAGCTTGAACAATCGATATTCGAGCTCGCTCAGCTCGTTAACAACTTTAACCAAATGTAATGACACACAGTTGTAATAATAGACGGTATGGAATGGCTTGGGCCCTTACCTTCCCACGGCTAAAACCGAGCAAAAGACATTCGTACGGCTTGTGATGAAAGAGATCCAGCTCGCTGATCATCGAGCCATGGGGCTTCACCTGTCATTGAAATTCACGAAATTTTCGAAAAGTTTGTTTGTTTGGTTTTAACCCCAAATCAAAATCAACACTATTCAATTCACACGTTCCCAATAAAAAATACTATTTAAATCAAAACCAAACGAACTCGTGGGGAAGATACAATAGATACCTTTAGCCAGTAAAAAGTCGCGATGCGTTCGACGCCCCACTTCGGAAATAACTCATTTTCTACGAAGCTACGTAGCTTCTCCCGATTCGTTACCCATAAAACGATCAGAGCTCCATCGGTATGGGTAAGTTGCTTTATAGGAAGTGATAGGAAGTACCGATTAGGCAATGTTTGGTATCTGTAGTTGCATCCAGCAAGAACACATTGCAATCGATAAATACGCCACAATTTGAATTAACATATGGAACAATAAACAGATAATAAGCAAAGGAAACGTACATTTGTTTCTGATGCGCACTGCTGTTCTCCCAAGGCGGATCGATCACTATAAGATTGAAGCCATTGTCGGATTCAGCTGCCAGAGATCAACGGCGAATCGTTAGTCTAATTTGTGACGAAGCCCGTAATATCGGGTAGGTTACATGTATCAACACCGTAGATTAGGCAAAGGTAATTAAAACTACACATCAAAAAATTCGAAGTAATCGATAATTGTTTGAACATAGAGAGGGTTGTTTCATTTTGATTCTGTATCCTTTTTCTTGAATTCATATAAATGGCGAATGCTATCGAAGATGCATACCGGGAATCAGGTTGTGAATCTGTCTGAGATCGGACTTCCTCGTGAAAAGATAAACAAAGCATTCGGAATATTAGATTGTAAAATATGATGCCAAGCTACATTTGAATGAGATACAAAACTCGAACACCGAACATAATAAGCACACAACAAAAGTCCATTTTAGCAACCATATAAACGATTATCACTCAAACTAAATCTAATTCGATACTCAAGAAAAGATCAGGGCTTCCAAACTAAAATTAATTGGTCATAGATGAAGTGGCCATCACTTTTATCAGCCAAGGGATTTTTCACATTTTTTCCAATGTGAGACATATATAATCTCGAGAATCCAAACAAAATCAATACCCAATACGGGTACATGGCTATGATATCATGTTAAAATTGTTTTGAAAATTGAAAATTTGTATTATTTGACCGTCAAAACAAGGGCCTATATCTAAATAACCTAATAGATAAGACCAAATCTAAATATAAATCTATTAAATCTAAAACGAAATATTTAAAATATCTCAAAGATACCATGTAGAAACAGCTTTCCTTCGGTAGGATGTATTCGTGGCCCAAGAATTCAGCTTCGATATCATCACTACCCTCATTAGCAACAAAGTTACCGAACACTCGCGCCACTCTTCGCGATTCATCACCTGCTTCACCAAATGAAGTTCATATTCAAATTATATTCTAACATAACATAATCCTATTTGATTCTCGGATATATTCCAATTTAGCAAAATCTCAAAGACAATACAAGCATTTCTGATAATTAGCAATACATTTATGAGCACACAAACAATTGATATATTCATGTAATCGAAAGCCTGGCTGTTCATCACACATTCATCGATTGATTTCAAAACAGGACATGATTATGTAAGTCATCGTCAATGGCGGAATCAAACAGTAATAGTTCGTGTTCATCAAAGATAAAGTTACCTGCAGTTTCAGCTGATCTGTTACCGTCTTCATCCTTGAAAGAAATCTCATAAAATGGAGCTTGCCAGACGCTTCCCAATTCGACAAAATTAATCTCATTCTTCCGCGGAAAGGATTCTCCATTGCGTTCCTCTGTATCGTTCCTCAAATGCGGCAAAACTTGCAACAGCTGACCAGCGCCAAGGAACGCCTCATGCGCCTTCAACAATACTCGTCTCGCCTCCTTCATCCAACCAGAGATACAAAAGTAAAACTACAGAAAAAAAAAAAATTTCGTAAATTCAGAGGAAATTGCAAAACACCCTTACCTGATGACGTTGTTCGGCAATTTTCTCCCTCGAATTGAGATTCTGAGGCGTATTAATCTCTTTCCCACCACGTTTTCGTTTCCGTGGAGGATTATTGCCGTTGTCGGCGGCTGGAAAGAAGCGGGAGTAGTAAGCGGAAGGAGAAACCCTAAACCTGGTGTAAAATCGGTTCAGCACCCGAACAGAGTCTACGAAGAAGGCACCTGCGTCGTCGAAGTGGTAAATCCCTGTTTCCGTGAAGTCCGACAGCCGACGGTCCGATTCGCCGCCGGCCATTTCCGCCGCCGCCAGGCTCTGAAGTATCACATATAAGAAAATTGGGTCTATGGACTGAGCACTCTAATTGGGCCTGGTTTGGGATATTAGTTTTAGGCCCTCAAGGTCTAAATATATTAAAGGAGATTTAATCTGAAAAAGATATTTGTCCGTCTACAAACTAACCTCCTATTTTTCTATTTATAATATCTAGTAATTATTTTTATTTTTATTTTTATATATATAATTTATTATTGCCCTTATTTTATTTACTATTTTTCTTTTTATACACAAAATCAAAAATAAATTTGTAATTTTATAACAAAAATCTTAATTATTTAAAAATACGTGTAAATATCCAATAGAATATTAAAGAATTAACGGAGGGAGTATAATATCTACAAAATTTCTCAACATCAATAAGCTAATCATATTTTAGATATTATAATCAATAACTTTTTACTCTTAATTAAATTAATTATGTTATGTTGCCATTGGCTTTTGATATAAACTTTTGGCTTTCACTTTCAAACAAAATATTTTGTCTGTTTGCATTTGGCTTTTGTCCAAAGAAATAGCTTTTAAATTGAAAAGTATTTTTTAAAGGCACATATTAAAATTATTGTTTTATTTTTAATAATAATAATAAATACCGTAGATATTAAAAAATTAAATGTCTAAAATAAATTAAATATTATATATTTTGAAAGAAGATAAAATTTTAATAAAATAAATATATAATTTAATTATGCACATATGTTAATTTTTGTACAATAAATATAAATTATTAATGCAAATATTGCGTGCATAAATAGAGTCATAATAAATTTGGCAGCAAAATAAATAAATTTTGTCAATAAATGAAGTATTATAATTAATATCTTCTTAAAAAAGACAATGATAAAAAGATTTTGGCGAGAAAAAAAGACTGAAGAATGGATAACAACATCGGATGGAAAATGAAATATTATAAAATATTTCTATTGACCAATCAGAACGCGTCACGTGGCACCATTCAAAAAGGAAGCCGAGGCCACACATTCCCTATAAATTAGAGCCATGGCCGGTTCATTTGACACATCGAAGTTACATCAGTAAATCTTGTAGTAGAAATTATGATTTCTTGGAACCCAGGTTTAGTACTTTTTACGTAAGTACGTAATTCAACAAGAAATTCCCTTACCTGTTCAATTTCTAATGAATCAAGATAACCGTTTGTTCCGGTATAAATAGTTACTATCTGATCTTCTACCGTAAGAAGAGCTGATTGGGATTGTTTAAGCAATTCACGTAATTGTTGACCTCTTGCCAATTGATTCTGAGTAGCTTTATCAAGATCTGAAGCAAATTGTGCAAAGGCTTCTAATTCTGCAAATTGCGCCAGTTCCAATTTTAATTTACCAGCTACTTGTTTCATGGCTTTTATTTGAGCTGCAGACCCCATTCTGGAAACGAAGATACCCACATTAATAGCAGGTCTGATTTCAGCATTGAATAAATCGGCAGATAAAAAGATTTGTCCGAGGATTCAAGAAAAATGGTAAGTCTCTAGACTCTCTCTGTATTGTTCTTCGTGTCCTTCGAAGCTTTCTTTGTCGAAAGTCACTGATTTGGACAAGTGATCCAATATTGGTTGATGAATCGATGAAGTTAATGCTTTTCGCCGTATGCTCAAGCCGGAGGGAGGATCAAAGTTCCGAAAGCCGTTGAAGGATCTGTCAAAGCCAAGGAAGATTTTCCCAAGTTCATCCCAAAGTTTCAAGGTGTTCGTTGCGTTCTTCGTCAAAAGCATCAACCTGACCCTCTTCGATCTAAAAGTCAAAGGGACACGCCGCCAAAAGTGTTAAGTAGCACCAAATCCACCTCATCAAAGATCAAGGCCTCAGATCGTCCAAATAAGACATCAAATCCAAAGCCGACGATCAAATCACCCACAGGGAAACCAAAGCCCTCCGAAAGCGGCAAAGCCAAATCAAATATCAAAGCCATGGATCGTCTAAAGAAGACATCAAATCCAAAGCCGACGATCGAATCGCCCACACGGAGACCAAAGTCCTCCAAAAGTCGGCAAAGCCAAATCAAATATCAAAGCCGCAGATCGTCTAAAGAAGACATCAAATCCAAAGCCGACGATCGAATCGCCCACACAAAGACCAAAGCAAAGCCAAATCAAATATCAAAACCTCGAATTGTCCAAAAAAGACATCAAATCCAATGTTGAGGATCAAATCGCTCGTACGGAGACTAAAGCCCTCCAAAATGCGGCAAAGCCAAATCAAAGATAAAAAACACGGATCGTCTAAAGAGGACATTTAATCCAAAGCCGACGATCAAATCGCTCACACGGAGACCAAAGCTCTCCAAAGTGTGGCAAACCCAAAGCCAAATCAAAGATCAAAGCCGCGGATCATTCAAAGAAGGCATCAAATCCAAAGTCGACGATCAAATCGCCCACATGGAGACCAAAGCCCTCCGAAAGGTAGCAAAATCAAATCAAAGATCCAAGTCGCAGATCGTCTAAAGAAGACATCAAATCTAAAGCCGACGATCGAATCGCCCACGTGGAGACCAAAGCTCTTCAAAAGGCGGCAAAGCCAAATCAAAGATCAAAGCCTCGGATCTTCCAAAAAGAATATCAAATCCAAAGCTGATGATCAAATCGCTCACACAGAGACTAAAGTCCTCCAAAAGCGGCAAAGTCAAAGCAAAGATCAAAGTCTCGAATCGTCTAAAGAAGACATCATATCCAAAGCCGATGAGCAAATCGCCTACACGGAGACCAAAGCTCTCCAAAAAGCGGCAAAGTCAAATCAAAGATCAAAATTTCGAATCGTCTAAAGAAGACATCAAATCTAAAGCCGATGATCAAATCGCCTACACGGAGACCAACACTCTCCAAAACGCGGCAAAGCCAAACCAAAGATCAAAGCCTCGGATCGTCCAAAGAGGATATCAAATCCAAAGCCGACGATCATATCGTCCGCATGGAGACCAAAACCCTCCAAAGTCCGGCAAAGTCAAACCGAAGACCAAATCTCTTCAGATTAAAGATGTCATCGAAAATCAAATTTGAAAACAAATCAACCCAAAAAGAGAATCAAATGACCAATTTAGATAATATGATCCATTTTAATCCAAGTTAAAATATAATTTGTACATGTGTTTATTAAAAATGACACAATTTTTTGTCTAGGAATACGATAGCAAGTGAAAGTTGACCGTGTAAGAGAGCTTATTCTTCAAATCCTTTTGCACTTTGTTCAAAAAAGCTAATGAATTGTTTCAACTGTTTTTTCAACAATAAAAGTATTGGTTCTTTGTGTTCTACGAGAATCAAGATGGTTTTTCCTTCCAAAAATACTCAATGATAACTCCAAATATGAACATATTCTTAACTTGACAAAAATGTGTATTACTAGAATTTATGCATAAGAACCATCAAAATAATTCGTAATCGGCATACAATATTGATTTATATCACTAGGCATGATCCAGAGTTCGTTGTTGAGATTATTAACGATTTTTGCCCTCTTAAGCGGTAATCTGGAATCAGAAAAGCTAAGGCAGACGCCGCAAGCAACAGCTGCCTTCGCTCACAAGCGCCCAGAACACATTTTGAAAATACTAAAGCATGAGAGGCAAGCGGCCACCTTGATAGCCCGCAAACGATAGTCTCTCCCACTTGCAAGCGACAATCCAGATACCCACCGCTGCAGACTATCACCAGATTTCAACTAAGTACTTCAACTACAGCGTTTCAGCCCTTCCAATTCCAGCCAGCACAAGCGAGCCGAGCTGCGGTGATGCCCTCCAGCTCTCCAGCAAGCGAGGAAGATCTGTGCCCTTAACCTTCAACGCAAGCGAAGCGGGCACCCTGGAAGTTATGGCCAGCAACTGTTTCAACAGAATAACTACCAGCAACCGCCTAACTGCCCAGCGGTTGGAACTGCCTAACAACTACTTGCAACCGTTTCTTTACACCTGTTATAAATAGGGCCAGATATCTTTATGTAAAATAATGGAATTTTTGGTGATTTCTGCATACTTTTAGCATTCGTCGTCTTCCTGTTTCAGAGAGCTCCAACCCTGTAAGGGAGTTCTCCACAGGAATGGCCAAGGGAGTAGGGGTCTCCCCTCTCCCTTGGTCACGTCTTTACTGCTCTCTTAGATTAGATTACTGCTTTCATTTACAGCTTTGTAGTTATAATCTTTCACGCTTTCGTAGTATATAAAGAAATATCATTCACTTCTTCAAATTAAATTCTTTCACAATTTTCCACACTTATATAAATCAAGTTTAGAGAATTTCATTTCACTGGTATAGAGCGAGAGAAGAATTGATTATCTAAGCCTTGTTATGCGCCAAAAGCGGTTTCAAGGTAGTTCAATGTAGCTAAGTACGCGGGAGCCTTGTCGACCTGCTTAACTACTGTGCTAAAATTCAATTTTGATTAAATAGTAGTAACATCAGAGGGTAAAGCCACTAATGAGGCAGAAATTGGGAAAATTAATGGGATATAGACGGGGTCTATTAGGTCGCAGAAATTCCTAGTGACAGTATGGTTTATTTCTTATAATGTCTTAATTCTGGGTGTCATTGAAGTCTTGTTGTAAATCCCCCATGCCAAAATGCCAGTGTGATGAGTTCTTTACAATTTAGTTTATATGATTACAACACCTTTCTTCTATCATTTCCATAATATACATATATTCTTCTGATAACACACTTACATCATTCGCTCACTTCATCCAGGAAAATCTATCCATTTAGTAACGCACAGATCAGACACAGCACCTCTCATTCACTCTAATTCGCTCATATACATATATATATATATATAATATGCCGCTCACTCATGCCCCAATCCTCTGGTAACCGCGATTCATCCATACCCCGATCATCTGGTCCCTATTTTCGCTCATGTCCCGATCATCTGGTTACCACTGGCACTCCACCTCTCGCTTCGCTCGTTTCCGCTCACCTTATCTTTATTGTGTTATTTACCGTTTTCAATAGTTAAATTTCGGACCCGCCGCAAGCGGATCCTTTCTTGCATTTTTCGTCGCTTTCTTCAAGATTTTTATCTTTGAAATTCATGACTTAAAATCCTTGTGTTCAACCCGGAAACTCACCAGTAAAGAAAGTATAAATAATTGTGATAACTACTCAGGATCTACAACCATACAATTTCTATATCCGATCATTTTCCTATAAAATCCTACTCATTAACTTTCGAATAAAATTCCCTGTGAAATTGTATGCAAATTGCAATAATGACAAAATTTGGTTATCACTCAAGTTAACCTGTATGAATTTCTCGTAATTTGATTAAAATGACAAAAATGGATATATTCAAAGTGAATTGAGAGAATATATATATTTATAATAAAATAAAGTTTTTTATCTCAGTTTATTTATATATACACATATATATACTTTATCAGACTAAAATTATAGGTTGACATAAACATTAAAATATAATAGATCTGTTCAGTCAATTTTTTTTTATTGTGATACGAAAAATTGTGTTGATAATATAAAAATTAATATTTTGTATTGAATGATTAATTTTTTTATGAATGAGTAATATATATTATATTAGTGTATATATTTAATATTTTTTAATAATATTTATAAAAAATTGTTTATTAATAATTGTTCAGTAAACATGCTGAATTTGTCTTAACCTAAAAAGTTATAGATAAAGAGTAATTAAAATATAATGAAAAAAACATTATTTGTGATGAAAAATAGTTATTATATACTCTTAGTTATAAAACAATAGTCTCATTTTGTTATTTTCGTCTGTATCAAAATAATAGTTTTATTTACATTTTTAACAACAAGCTTCACACATTATTTACAAAATTATCCCCATTTTTTTCAATAATTCATGTGTCAATATCAAGTGTTTTGTTATTTTGAGAAATGGATAGTTTATAAAGGAAGTACTGTTAACTATGAATAGGGATGACGTCAGCACTGGATTGCCTCCCTTGCGTCATAGTAGCGTAAGGTCCCGCCATTGGCGTGTTGGGAGAGCATATCAAAACGAATTTTGGTTCCGAGGAGCATACTCTAATAATAAGATTCATTCTAGAACCATCCATCCATCCATGCCTGACTCCACTACCACTCTCACCCCAACTTGGCTTTGATCCGACCGTTAGGATCACGCCACGTCATACCTTCCTCTGCAATCCTGAGCGTCAGTCAGTCGGTCTATTAGTGTTGTGGACTTTGGCCAGTGCAGCCAGCGTGATCCGGTAACTGTGATCCGCGGGGAATGTCACCGCCGATCACTCTAGCAAAACTTGCATGCCCTATATATGTATATATATATATATATTCGATTGCTGAATTGTTTTTGGAGCAGGGAAAGGCGGTGAGGCTTGAAGGGGGAGGAAGCTGAGGATTACTGCTTCGGTAGAGGTTTGGATTTGATTTTGCTTTTTGAATGAAAATCGGTTGTTTCGTTTGGATAATTTTAAATTGGTGTTGTGGAATTGTTGTTAGCTTGTTTTTGTGGTTTTTGGTTTCTCAATTTCTGCGTATAAAACTGCTGACGTTACGCTTTGATCTGGAATGTTTTCACTTCGGTTTCGGTTGAGAATTCAATTGATTACCATTTACATGCTCTCGTTCATCGATTTTTTTTTGGTTACTTTTGTTCTGCAAATTTCTCTATGGATTAATTGAGAATCGATTCCTGAGTAATGGTGTTTTGCCTTTATAACCATGGTTGATGGTACCAATCTGATCAAGCTTTCGGGTGTTGGAAAGTTTAATTTGATACATCATTCAACAAATTCTATTCGGTTCTACAATCTACACACTCACTATCTCATAAACACAGATGGATACACACTCGCTCGAGAATTGATAATCGATTCTCAGTTATGGCGTTCTTCTTTTAAAGTCATATTACCAATCTGATCAACCTTCTGTCGTTCGAAATTTTAAATTTGATTCATCACGTAGCTTATTCTATCACAGAAACTAGGTCACATGGACATGAACACACACTCACTCGAGTAATGAAGTTCTTCCTTTAAAACCACGACACAAATGACCAATCTGAGCTAGCTTTCAGTAGTTTGAAATTGTAAATTTGATTCATCATATAACTTGTTCTATTATCCATACATCCAACACTAATATGCATTAGTCCTCAATCAGTATAAAAGTTCCCGTAATTTCATTCTTAATGATCCAAGTTTGGTTTCGTGTGTTTAGGCTTGCATCATCAACTCCGGAATCCATGTGTCCTCCGGCGAATTACGAAATTGGTTTGTACTGGACTGACCAGCAAATCATCGCATTACTGGATGGATACATCCCCGGATCCCGTCTCCCCAGGGACGTGCTTACGGATTCGAACCCTTACCTCTGTCCACCTTCCAATTTGCCAGGTTCATCATTATGTCTTTCGCCATTTCGAATCAAAAGGCTTTATAGCATTCTTCGATGTCGAAAATCTTGCTAAAAATGAAAACAAATGGTGTTCTTGCAGGAGGCATGTGGTACCTTGTTCGAAAGAATGTCGAAAGGGAATCCGACTATGGATTCTGGCGAGCTAGAGACGAAGCTTGTAAGATTTATTCGAGCTCTACAATAACTGGTTGGCGAATAACTCTCGACTTCTTTGAAGGCAAACACCCTCCCGGAAAAAGAACCGGTTGGCTTATGCAAGAGTACAGCATAACTCAAAATGGATTCCACGTTGAAGCTATGCCACAGGTACTTAGTCGAACGAACACATTTACAGCATATGTATCGACACTCGTATCTTTTATTTACGTTGAAGCCTAATCTGTAGATCTCAAGAATGCTGTGCAGAGTCTTCCCCTGCATTGACAACGAATTCGATAAAATTGCTTCAGATTCGACAATGGAGAATGGCGAAGAATCTGCAAGTGCAACTCAGGTGAACTTTCGAGCTGTATATTTGTTCGATTCGATTTTACGCATGGAATTATTTATATGGAGAGAATGGACTAACAGGAATGCATCAGGACAGGGAACTTTATCGAATTGAATGATCTAGAAGATCAATCGAACTGTCCTAGTGACTTATCGGACGAATTCTTTTACGCATTAGCGTTGGAGTTGGGAATCGAAGAAGACGAGAACAGAACAAGTTCGGGATACACTTTCGGCACGTTAGGATTGTCGAAATGACACGGTTGTCGTGCAGCCTGCTAATTTTATTACATCGACAAGAATTTTAACATGGCGACGACAATGACGACGACGACGACGAGGATGCAATCCCCAGTATTGTCATTCATGTTCATGGCGCTGAGGATCAACAAGTCTTGAGGTTAGAAATATATATATATATATATATATTGTTACAAATTTTATTTATTTTCTTGAATATATTATTTGCATATGTGTTAAGTGTTTGTATCATTCTTGATCTGCCTGCATTACATGTATTATGTGTATATATATATAATATATATATGTATATGTATGAATGCGTCATGAATATTTGGGTGTGATGAAATGAATGCGGTAGGCAACACAAAACATATATATATATATATGTATAGATATGTAGAGCGAGAGAGAGAATTAAATGAAGGGTAGGTGGGGCGGGGGGGTGGGGTGGCCAATTTTTTCAACACAAAGTAGTGGTAGTGGGTAGTGCGGTGAAGTGTAAGCTTATTATTATCTATGTGTGTGAAATGAGCATAGAATAGAATAGTAGTTAGTATGATTCATTGAGTGGGCTCATTTATTGTTCAATTCTGCTGCCTGCCTATTCATATTCTGGTAGTTGGACTTTAAATTTCATCTCTCCCTATCTTTGTTATAAGTATATACATATTTATGTACCCATCCATATCTAAATAAATAAATGGGTAAAATGCATTGTGTGAATAATAAATATTTAGGGTGTGTTTTTGTTGTTGTTTCAATTTTGGTTGATATTATTTATATATATATATATATATATTTATAAAATATTTCTCCTTTTTTTCTACGTAATTTGTTTTTTTAAAATATAATTATATACTTTAATTATATTTTTATAATTATAATTTTTTTATTTTAATTAAATTATTTAATCATTTTAATTTATAATTATTTTTACTAATACACTTCTTAATTACTTACTAATTTATTTAATTTTGTTTATTTTTATCTTTTTTGTTTAATAAATAGATATTTATATATATATAATCTTCCAAATTCTCAATTTTTTGTAAAATAAATATATTTTAATTTTAAATAAATAGTTTTATATTTATTTATATTATACAAAATATTGTTCTCTACATAATATATATAGTGTATATATTGTATTGAAATATAACTTTTAAAATATTTTTAACATATTTTAATTTTTTAATTATGTATTTATTATTAATCAAATATTATTAATTAAATAAATTACGTTTAATTAAACTTCTAATTTAAAATCCAAATGCTAACCAAACGCATTCTGAATTGTGTAAGTACTTAACGAGGTATACTATTTTGGTAAAAACAAATTTTAATATATTATTTCATCATTCTCAAAATAAGTCTCATTTTCATAAATAACTATATGACTATAAAACTATATTACTTTTTCATTATTATTACACAATTGTCACTACTTTTTACACTAATACACTCACAAGGGCAAAAAAATCTTTACCCGTATTTTTTACTCACTACCAATATAATATCAACATTTCTTAAATTCCGTGTCAAACACAATCCAAACTATAATTTTTAGACGAAAAGAGTATAAAATAAGCACTCCATCTGATTTTTTTTGATTTAAAATAATAATAATTTTATCTTTGTATATTTGTGTTTATATAGGATTTGTTTGATTGTAATTTTAAATTCAAAATTATACTCCCTCCGTCAACTTACAATGTTTACATATTTTTATTTTGGGACGTCCAATTACAAAGTTAACATTTCATTAAATATCCTACTTTTTTTCATAAATACTCTTAATTTGCATCACATCATTACTTTTACACAAAAACAAAAAAGTAAGGACAAAAATGTCATTACACTACTTTTAACTTACTACACTAATAATAAAATATACATATTTTTTTATTTAAATTACAAATACATTATTATAAATATTTTTTTCTCCATTATTAAATCATATTCTTATCATTTTCGGGACATATTTTATACGAATGCATTTTTGGTTTTTTATAATAAAAAAAAATAATATATTTTTCTTATTGAAAAGTAACGAAAATATTAGTTTATGACAAAAAATAAAGAAAATGTGTGAATAAAATTAGATGAGAAGAATATTACTCCCTTTGCCGGGACTCTTTTTTTTTTTTATCCGTCCCATAAAAGATAGTCATTCTTTATTTTTAGTAAATTTATTCATCTTAAACATATTCAATAAATATAAATCAATTAAATAAAATTTCCAACGTTTCACGTAGGATCCACTCAAAATCCCTTGATGTCTATCTATGTCTTAAATAAATAAATATTTTTATGTATATTAAAAACTCCTTATTTTTAATAAAATTAGTTTTAAGTTAATTATAAATAAATAAATATATATTTTTTTGTATTATATAAAATTTAATTTTCTACAAAATGATATCAATATTGTATATATTTTATTGATATATAATGCTAAAAATATTTAAAATATTAACAACGTTACTCATATAAAAAATAATAAAATAATATTATAACTTATTGTTAATAAGTTAATAATCTACACTACCTAAAATATCATGTCTTTAAGAAAATGAATAATTTTGACCGGGACGAATGGAGTATTTTATACTATAAATATCAAAATATCATTCCCTCCGTTCCATATACTATGTCCACGTTGCCGTTTCTGTCCGTCTCACATACCATGTCCACGTTGCCGTTTCTGTCCGTCCCGCATTCCATGTCACTTTCTTTTTTGAAAATAATTACATACTTTAATCTCATTTTAAACTTTTTAATTTTTTTAAATTTTAATTAAACTAATTAGTTATTTTAATCTTAATTTATAATTATTTTCAGTAATATATTCTTAATTATCTACTAATTACACCCCTCTTAAACTACCGTGTCTACAGTGTAGCAGATGCGGTATATGAAATGGAAGGAGTATTATTAACTAATATGTGTATTAATAATATAATCTCTCCTCCGTCACTGACCTTTAATAAATTTATTTATTTTTAATATATTTAATAAATATAAATTAATTAAATTAAATTTCAAACCTTTTACATCTATTCAAAATCTATTCATTTATATTATCTCTCTCTAATAAATAAATATTTTTTTGTATTTAAAATTTCACGTCTTTTATAAAATTAATTTTAAATTAATTATAAAAAAATAATAGTATATGTATTTATTTATTTGTATGATATAAAATTTTATTATTAATAAAATAATTTTCATATTGTATATATTTTATTATAATATAATATTTAAAATATTAATAATAATACTCATATAAAAAATAATAAAATAATATCATAATTTATTATTAATAACTTATCAATCTAAACAACTTAAATAACCGTATTTCTAATTAAAATGTTTGAATATTAAAAAATTTATCATATACGAGACGGAGGGAGAATTACTTCTTCAATTACGTGTATCGTATAATGTGCACCAATATATATATGCATGAAATTTTAAGAGGAATATATTGGTAAAAGTAATTGTAATATCATGCTCCCTATTTCCTATATTTATATATTTATTTGCTTTTCATACGAAGTTTTAGAAATATTAGTATTATATTGGAATAAAATATAAATAAAAGTAAATAGACTAAATTAATCCTATTAGTACTGTATGATGTAAATGTAATGACATTTGTGTAATATATTGTAAATTGGAATGGTACCTGTAATGTTAGGTAGGTAGTACAATTATTAAAAAAATCAAATTGATATTTTGTTATGAAACGAACCAAAATGAAAAAAATGGATAGATTGTTAAAGGACGGATGAAGTATAAATAATTACATATTATGATTAAGATAAATTATTACTCTAATTAAAATTAAAATTTAAAATTTAAAATTTAAAATGTTGTTAAAATGTACTATCTCCATCAATTAATAGATTTTTTGTTTGACTTTCGAGGTAAATTAGTATTATATATATATATATATTAATGTAATAAAATTATATAATATCTATTTTACATTTGAAAATAATGCAACAAAAAATAAAAAATAGGGATATTTTGATATTTAATTGAGAATTACTTTTATATAAAAAAAAAATAGAAATTTTTTATTTGGATACTAAAATGGCAAAATAAAAAATTTAGTCTTAGATCCCAAAAAAAAGGCCAACTAAAATGGCAATATAAATACGAAACGAAAGATGGAGAGAGTATTATTATTTTTTTAATAGTAAAAACATGTGTTTAGTTTATGTTTCAAATAAAAAATATTACTCCCTTCGTCCTACGTACCATGTTCACGTTGTCGTTTTTATCCGTCCAATATATCATGTCACTTTCCTTTTTTGAAAAATGATTACACACTTTAATCTCATTTTAAACTTTTTAATTTTATTTTTTTAAAATTTTAATTAAACTAATTAGTTATTTTAATCTTAATTTATAATTATTTATATTATAGGATAATTATTTTCACTAATACATTCTTAATTATCTACTAATTACACCCCTCTTAAAATACCGTATGTACAGTGTAGCAGACACGGTATGTGGGACGGAGATAGTATTATTTATTTGCACTGTTTTTAATAAAAATATATTATTATTTTTTATAAAATATTAAATTAAAAAATTATTTAAATCAAAATTAAAATTTCAAAATAAAAGATGCAAACAAAACATAGATAATATGAGGATTAATGTGAACCTCAAAATATATGGAAATCCAGTGGCCCATGCAAATACACAGTCTGCTACTCCACAAAATTGTAAAATACTGTATTACCCAATATAATGAAATTTAGAAATATATATGTTTTTTAAAAAATAGATATTAGCTATAGAGATTTCTTTTTACCAAAACTATAGTTTGGGTTCTGTTTGACACGAGATTTAAGAAATACTGATATTATATTGGTAATAGATAAAAAGTACGGGTAAAAGATTCTTTTGCCCTTGTGAGTGTATTAGTGTAAAAAATAGTGACAATTGTGTAATAATAATAAAAAAGTAAGGGCAGTTTTATAGTGATATGATAATTTATGGAAATTAGACTATTGTTTTGGGACGGACAAAAATGGTAAACAAGACTATTATATTGAGACGGATGGAGTATTATTTATTTTAGTTTAGCCTCGAGTCCACTAGTATATATATTTTTGTACTCTTATTTTCGTAATAATACAATTTCATAATTTTTTCACAAATTCTAACATTGTATGAATTCAAGTCTCACCATTTCTCATTTGTTGTTCTCAATGGGCAAGTTTCATTTAGTGATATTTATTCCCTTGCCCGTGAGAGGCGTGTTAGTTGACTCTCATTTGTAGATAAAAACAA